CCCCCCCCCCCGACTCGAAACCCGTTCCCCGTTCCCCGCCCCCCAAACCCCCTCCCTGATCGGCCGCGGCCTCGGTCGAAATTATTGGCCGCGTTCAGCTGCGGCCGGGGGGGGGCCGGCCTAGGCCGGTGGCCACGGCCGTGGCCGAACCCGGCCGCGGCCTGGGGGAAACATAGACGTCCTGCTGTTCTTTTGACATGCGGACAACATGTCCTCTGTCAGGACTGGTTTGATGGGATGGTTCGTGCTAGCCGTCCTGCTGAGTGCTGTGCTGGCGCAACTCTCCTTGGGTATCCTTGTGAACATCCACATCATCCTCGCCGTAGCTGTCCTGTCTGCCGAGGTGGGAACAGTTAAAAAAAAAAGAAAAAAAAAGAAAAAAAGAAAATAAGAAAATAAGGAAAAAGAAAAAATATGTTGATCTGTGGGATGTGTTATTTGCTTTGTGACAATTGGATTATCTGTGGGATGTGTCATTTGCTTTGGTTCCCTGTCAGGAGGTTTCCTCCTCCTTTTCTTTACCTCTTTGCCTTTTGGTTGCGTACAAGTGGGTCCTTGTGACACATGGGGATGGGGGCAGCCAGCACTCAACCTGTCATCCACGTGGCTGGCCTTGTACGTAAGAGGTGATGAACAGGTGGGGCTTTCCTTCCTTCTTTTCCTTTCCTTGTTTTGCCTTTTTCCACCTTTGTGCTCCGATTCACAGTGTGACAATATATATATCTGTGCATGAGCATCAGCAAGAGAACAGAGTATATAAGGTGCAAGTTTCGCTGAAAGGCAAATGGCTGTGCACGCATTCGGCAGTCAAGCATACGCAATTCACATCGTTCAAAATATATCAGTGAAACGGCTGTTTGCCCGGAACGTTGTAATCTTCTTTTTAAAAACACCACATGGTAGGACCGTTCCAAATATGATATCCGAAAACAGGAGTTATTGGTTATTGTTAAAATGAACACACACGCACACACCCTCACTGTCGGAACCTTGCGTTCATCGGGCAGACTCGGAGCATTAGTACTGTGGAGAACACTCTACGGGGTGTGCCATTTTCAGCACAGTGTTTGGCATTGATCAGGGTGCTGTTGGCAGAAGGGCTTCTGGTGTGACGGGGTAGTGTCATGGCGAGGGGTTGAATGCCGGGCTACATTTTCGAGGTTTGAGCCGCTGCTCGTTGTCAATGAGTGTTTGTTGGCAGACTAGGAAAGTTCATGCTGCGGGTGAGATCCTCATGTGGACTGTTCTTTGGGGTAGCAGCCCCAGGCTCAGCACATAATGGAGATGCATGACTTTGCATGTGCCCCAGGCCAGTGTTTTTTTTTTCTGTGAAACTGACACCCCATTTTGTGACCTGGGTGACAACCACAGGGCGTCCTATTTTCCTTTCCTCCCTATGTCAGGATTGGGTAATTTGTGCGCCCGCTGCCTTCCTTGGATGTGGTAGCTTTTTTATTTCGAAGTGGAAGCAACAGCCCAACTTCGGACCCACAGTCGTTACCATCCACAGAAAACAGCCCACCGACTTCCTCATATTAGAACGTCCAGTCAGTATGGTTGTATTTGGGCAACTTTCAGTCTAGATTCGGCCATAATGGCCGTACGTTCTATTCCAGTGAAAACGGTAGGCCCAGAGGCCCTTTCACAAAAAGTTTGTGGTGGTTCGACGTTTTTTTCAACTCTTCTCTTTTTGTTTTTTTTTTAATGAACATTTTCAACTCTTCTCAAATGTGGTGAAATGACTGTTTGCATGGCGCAGGCTGGTGGTTCGTTCCTTCATTGTCCTTTGGTACCCAGGAGTGTTCAGTACAGTGCAAACCACCAGTCTCGCCTGAGCGGCTCACTGTGTTATGAGTTGGCTTCGCCCAAAATCTGCCGAAATTAAAGGTCTATGGAACTTCCAATCTGACAGTTACAGCTCATGCAAGCCTCGTTAAGTCGCGAAAGCTCACACATGCACACCTTATTCCCAGGGTGCTTGACATGCTTTCTGACATAGTTTCCCTTCGACCAGACATGACACAAGTTGTATACGTTTTCGTTGCTCCTGTGTGCAGAAAAGGATCTTCCTCCACATATGCGTGGAATTGAGGTCAGCGATGACTTACCTCATCAGATGGCTCCGTCGTCATCAACTGCCTCTCCACAAGTAAGCGCCGCCCATCATTTATGTTACTTCTTGTTCCAATAGCTGAGTTACTCTGTTCAGCTGTCTTTGGTTGGTTTTGATAAGTTGTTGTTATGGTTGTGGTTGTGGTTGTTGTGGTTGTGGTTGTTGTGGTTGTGGTTGTGGTTGTGGTTGTTGTTGTTGGTGGTTGTTGGTGGTGGTTGTTGTTGTTGTCCTCGTTGTCAGGATTGTTTGTCATGCTCTTGTTGCTGCTGTTAGAGAGACCCCTTTTTCTTGGCCCCTCCCTTCCGCCTCCCTCCCAAAAGGGAAAAAAAAAAGGAAGGGGGGCTTAAACCACCAGTACATCCAGCCATTGGCCGCGGGCCCTTTTTGGAGGCCGCCCGCCACCGATTCAATTTATCTACGGCGCCGGGCCTGCGAAATTTTTGTAGGCGATGAATTTTCTTTTCAGAAAGGCTGGGGCCGTGTACTGGCAGTTTATACTCGTGATCTGTTTATAAACAGTTATCTGAGTGTGATCCTTAAGGCCCACACTTGCGGTGCGGTGACCAGCTGCGTATGTTGTGTGCTGTACAGTCCAGCGACCTTGCAGTGCACATGGCTTGCAGTGGGTGCCAGTGCATGGGTGCATGAGCTGTCCACGCAGTTTGTGGTGGTGCGTGGTCGACGGGTCGTGCACAGTGGACACACAGCTGTACACGGTGCAAGCGCACCCTCTAAACCCAGCTGCGGTTACCTGTAAGGTCTTTTTTTTTGTTTTCCTTTTTTCAGAAGGGAGGTAGCGTGTAATTCGGGACATCCGTTAAAATTGGAAAGATACAGACCATCGTAACCGTCCAGACGTCCGGACCGGGTTCCAGACAGTCCGGTGTCCAGTGTCCGATCCTTATGTCCGGATGGAGGCCCCTGGGGAAAAAATCAAAAAAAAAAAGGGGGCGGCCCAGGACGTTTATTGGCTCTTGGCCGCCCCTCGAAAAATAACGGGGTGATTTTTCAGTGTCGTTTCACCCCACCGGACAGGGCCTAGAGGTCCGGACACAAGACACTGCAGGTTTTTCGGGTGCCGGGTTTCGCACAGGCCCGAGCAATTTCAAAGCAGCCGTTTCGATGTGGCGCCCGGCGCTGCTGCCC